GACAAGGGATGGGAAGTAATATGCACCTACGTAAGACAAAAACCTGAATATGGGACTGTCCCTATAAAATCAGGATGGCTGGCCACCCTGGGCCAAACCAATTCACAAAGCAGGGAAGGATCGGGGCAGAGCGAGAACATCTATGTCTATTTCAAGGTGGCTACTTAGAGTCATTGGTCAACAGGAGCAACAATGAATGCCTGCCTATAAGCTATAAGACCTCAGTTTGAGTTCCCCTGCTCTAATCATACATTATTTATACATGGTGCAACAGCTTCCCCAGGAGAGATTGAGGGAGCCTCACATCCACATATATCAGAGCCAGGCCCTATTAGGGGGTGAGGAGCGGGGAGGGGCAGCAGAAGGGTCATTTGGACCAGGCCTCAAGAGACAAGGGGGGGCTCAAATTTTGACAATTTTCTACCAAGTTATTTCCATTTATTATACACTTTGCAGTTGTAACAGAGACCACAAAAGAAGCTGTATATATACCTGCAAAAAATTGATTTAAATCATTGTGGGACCTTGGGCCGTCATCAATTTTATGGTCACATCTAAGTTTTCATCTGCGTGACTGGAGTAGCTTGTGTGATTAGTGATTCTACGTTATGAAGTGCTGTTTACAGGCTTTGCATAGGCTTTTGGAAGTTGTAATTAATTCCATTACTGTAAAGTGATTTTTCTTTGTCTGAGGGTGAATTTAACCTTTAAATTAGATGTTTATCTCTGCATAGGAGATTTTCATATTCCTGTTTTTTCTTCTGTGTCTTTGTATACAATAACCATATCAGACTTGGTTGTAAGCTACATCTTTGTCCAGTTCTGGATTCACCTTTAAAGCCTTTTTTGTGATGATAAACTTTTAATTCTAGTTGTTTAATATACTTTATATCTAATCTGGCAATTGCCCCATGTTCATACTCATAATAATGCAGCAGTTAGTGCAGTAACTTAATAACAGGAACATGTTAGCAGACGAAATTTCAAAACTTTGAAATAAGGATAATAAGGTCCATAGTAAATAACACCCCTAATCCATTATTATATAATATTCATTGTGAAGTATATACATTTACAATTTTGTATAACCAATAGCCTTTAGTAAATTAATTTGTGTGTTAATCTGTTTTAAAAGAACCCCTTTATAAGATTTAAGCAGATTTGAAAGTGGTACAAGTAAGAGATGGTGAAGGCAACACAGTGAAGTAGTAGTTAAGAGTTTAAAGCCAATAGCATCATTTCCAGTTCTAATGATGAAAACTTTGTAACCACAAATGACATTTCAATGCCACTGCCTCAAAATGAGGAGGTCATTAATCAAGACACAGAAATGCCAACAGTAGTAATAGATGCAGAATCTATGCTTGATTTAGAGACTGCAGGCAGAAAATTAGGACCTCGGAGATGCTGCTCAGCAAGAGCAAGAACTTATGACTAGCACAGGACACAGTGTAACAACAGTGGCGTCAGAACCTGATATTGGACTTTTTGATAAGAGCAATGTTGCTCAAAAGCAGTCGTTTCTCAAAGTTAATTGTTTTCAGATTCCAAGTAATATACCAAAAGATGCTGAAAATCATGATTTTCCTACTCGGCTGCTGACAAAAACTCTTCCAAATGGAGAGAGCTACAAAAGATACTGGCTCTACTGGAGCATGGAAAAGCAGGATCTGTATTAGGTACCCTGTTTCATTTTTAACAATAATACTTCAAATCATAGGGCTGGAAGAGATCTGAAGGTCATTGAGTCCAACGCCCTACCCAAAGCAGGATAAAGTCATCCCAGCTAGGGCTTCGTCAAGATAGGACTTAAAAACCTCTAGGGGTGGAGATTCCACCACCTCCCTAGGTAACCCATTCCAGTGCTTCTCCACCCTCCTAGTGAAATAGTTATTCTTAATATGCAGCCTAGGACTCCCCCACTGTAACTTGGGACCATTGCTCCTTGTTCTGCCATCTGCCACCACTGAGAACAGCCTGTCTCCATCTTCTTAGCAGCCTTCAACTTCCTGAAGGGAGGTTCCAATCAAATCCCCCCTCACTCTTCTCCAAACGAAATAAGCCCAAATCCCTGAGCCTCTCCTCAGAGGTCATGAGCTCCAGTCCCATAATCATTCTGGTAGCCCTCCACTGGACCCTCTCCAATGTGTCCAAATCCTTTCTATGGTGGGAGGCCTAGAACTGGACACAATACTCCAGATGTGGCCTCACCAGTGCTCTTCCTAATGCACCCTAATATGCCATTAACCTTCTTCGCTACAAGGGCACATTGTTGACATATCCATCTTCACTGGAATCCCAATGTTCTTTTCTGTTGAACTACTACTTAGTCATGGAAATCAGCTAGTAGAACAGCACTAGCTGACAGTTCCATTGAAAACGTACTCGTGAGTGAAATAAACACAGAAACTGATAACTGGAAAAAACTCCTTGAGCACATATTGATAGTCATATTTTTTCTTTCCGAATGGGGATTGGCTTTGTTTGGTTCCAGTCAACGTATCAGTGACCCTACAAATGGAAACTTTCTTGGTATACTTGAGCTTCAATACAAGTATGACCCACTTTTATCAGGCCATGTTAAGGGTGTTCATGAATCACAAGAGAGCAGAAAATGCATGCAACCCATTATCTGTTTACCAGAATACAAAACAAGTTTATTGAGCTGGGTGGGACATTTGTGCAAACAACAATTCTTGAAGAGACACGACATGCAAAGTACTTTTCAATTATTATTGATGCAACTCCAGACTGTTCTCATAAAGAACAGACAACCTTGGTTGTTCAATATGTTCAAATTGCAGGAAGTTCAAAAGTTTCAGTTGAAGAATGATTGAAAAGAAATCACCATTTGTGTATTAGAAATTCTGGAAGGCTTCAAATTAAATTTTCAAGTCTACACTGGCCAAGCCTATGACAATGGATCCAATATGGCTGCAAAGTACAACAGAGTACAAGCAGTCCTTTTTGAGCAAAATCTAAACTGTTTTATCCAGTTGTGGCAACCACACAGTAAATCTTGTTGGTGTTCATTGTGCTGAATCATGCAAGGAAGCAAACACATACTCTGGAACAATCCAGCAATTGTACAACCTCTTCAGTAGCAGTCCTCGAAAGTGGGAAATTCTGAAGCGGTATCTGCTTGTTTTCCTTCATGGCATGCCTACAATGAGATGGTCAGAACACACTGATGGTATTAAACCAGTTGCACAGCATTTGGACTCTGTGAGAAAGGCTTTAAGTAAGCTTGAATCTCTTATTCTCACAGCACAGGCTCGCACTGAGCGTAAGTCAATTCAGAAGTATACATCCAAATTTGAATGCATTTTAATTTGATCCTTGTGGATGAAGTTGCTAAAAATGATCCAAGACACTAAGCTTGAAATTGAACACGCAATGCTACATTAGATATTGAGAGCACAGTTCCCTCTAAGTCATGTGCTATTATGCATGCATAGAAAAAATTCTACCCCGCCCACCACCTACACAGAGCCACACAGCAGTGTGGTGGCAGACAGGCAGGTGGCTGCTCCAGTGGCCAAGGCTGGAGGAACCACATGACGGGTGGGCAGGAGGGTGAGCAACTGCTGTGTCCGGCTGGGACCAGAGGAACCATGCGATGGGCAGGCGGGAGGCTGCTCCAGCTGGCTGGCTAGGGCCAGAGAAACCATAGGGTGGGTAGGTGGGCATCCGGGACTGGAGGAACTGCCAGGCAGGCAGGCGGGAGGCTGCTCCAGCCAACCGGGGCTGGAGGAAACACATGGCAGGTGGGTAAGCAGGCGACAATGGAAAATAGGTTGAGAACCACTGGAATTAATAGGTATCTTCTTTTCAAGCAGAGATTGTGCAGGGAGAAACAGCAGACCTGGTGTAGCTATGTGGCTTCTGCCTACTAGCACTGAAATCAGTTTCAGAATCGGGGCCATCCTTACTGGAGTGTGGGGACCTCAGACAACTCCCCTCCCTCCCTGCTCTGTCCCCATTCTTCTTTTTACCAAATCGCTCCCTGCCCTGCCCCTTCCTGTCCCTGCTCCACTCAGCCCCTTCTCCGCCCTCATTGTACCACTTCCCACAAGACTCCTCCCCCAAGCAACATGACCCAGGGGATTGCAAGGCCCGCCAAGGGCTGGCAGCAGGGTTTGCCTCCCCTCCCCCACACCCTGAACCATCCTTTGGATGGGACATCTCTGTTCAGAATGCCTTGGTTCAAGTGGCACTAGTTCTGTGAATAAGGGCAATTTAGCACAATGATTCTCAACAGCGTACACATACTCCTGGAGCTATGCAATGCTCTTCCAGGTGGTACATAAATTCAGCTAGATATGTGCCTAATTTTACAACAGACTACATAGAAAGCATGAGCAAAATTGTAACATATTAACATTGATAGAGACAATGACTTGATTATACTGCTTTATATACTCTACATTGATGTGTAAGAACAGTGTTTATATTTCAATTGATTTATTTTATTTTTATATGGTAAAAATGAGAAAGCAAACAATTTCTCAGTAACAGCTAGCAGAGTTTTCACACTTTTGTATTATGTCTGATTTTGTAAGTAAGTAATTATTAAATGAGGTAAAACGTGGTAGTATGTAAGATAAATAAGACTGCTGAGGGAGGTACAGTTGTCTATAAAGTTGAGAGCCACTTATTTAGTGCAATGCCACCAGTAACATGGAACCACCACCATTATCATCATGCAAAAGTGTTTAGAGCAGACTGAGAGCAAGCGAAAGAAACAGCTGCAGAGATTACTAAAGAGATCTGACCTGTCAGCATCCTCTGTGTTTGATAACAGTCATGTGATGTAGAGGAGTCTGTTTCTGTAAATAGGGACATGGAGCATGTTCTAATGTACAGATTTCTAAATCTGGTGGATGAGCACTTCATTAAGATTATTTTTGTTCTTCAGTTTTCTAAGTGTTGCCTGAGAACATTCACCATGAGCAGAAAGCTTATGAACATGCATGTATGTATTCAAGCAGTGTCCTGTTAAGACTATACTTTCAGGGACCATTTCTATAGTTTGTAACTAAAGAAGTGCAGCTGAAAGTGGTTGGTCTTGCTAACCCAGAGGAGGAGCTAAAGTGTTCTCTTCTGAGCATGAAGTGAACAGTGTTGCTTTAATGCAGCTGCTGTCTGTTATTGTTATTGAGGACCGTTCCTTCTTTTCTTTTGGAAAGTTAGAGGGAGAGAACACAGGCTGAGTGCTTAGCTCTTATTAAAGAAGTTTTAAAATAGCTTTGTGGTAAAAAGAGTGGTAGTGATTTCACTTTTTTCACCATGCCCACACTTTTTTAAACAAAAAAAATAATTTTTAATTTCTCTTTTACTGCTCTGGTCCTGATCCTAATGCCTTCAAGAAAGAGTCATGCTTCCCTCAGTTGGTGCAGTTCTCCCTCACCTGGCTGTGGGTTTCTTTCCATGTGCTCCTCACACTGGACCTAGCCAGCCCCTTGGGTCTACCTCATGCTTTGTCCCCCACTTGCTCCCTATTGGCCCTGGGGTGGAGCAGAGAATAGCCACAGCATAGTGTTATTTATCCTTTGTTTTAGTATTCTTTCTTCTACAACATATATCCAAGATATTTGTTAGTAACTGGTGGGTGCCATGGTGGCACACACAAACAAGTGCACATGACCTCATTGTTGGCGCACAAGACAAAACCCACTCCACTTATAGATGGAAAATCTTAGAGGGAATGCTGGTTGAGAGGGATAACCTTGAATGACTTCTTAAAGATATTCAAAAGATTTGTGATCAATGGAATGCAATCCTATCTGAGTCCAAATCAGCAGAACAGGGTATTAACATTTCATCTGAGTTTTCCACCAAACACAATCTCTCAATCTGATGCAGAAAGTCAATTTTTTGTTGCTGTTGTTATTATTAAATCTTGTCTTACACATCAATTTGAGTCACTGCGACAAATTTGTACCCTTTTTGGATTCTTTGGGAGTTCAGAAAACTAAGTGATGAAGGTCTATATTCAGCAGCTAAACAGTTTCAACAAAGGTACAACAAGAAAATTTCAAGAGATCTCTGTGACAAGATCGTCTTCCAAAACGTATACATTCCACCAACTTTAAATCGGACTGCAAAGCAAAAGAACTGCTTCAAGAAATATTTGATCTTGGTCTGTCAATTGTATTTCCTAATATTACAATTGCCTTACGTATTTTTGTCATCAGTGGCTTCAGTTGAATGCTCATTCAACGTGTTAAAACAAGTAAAGAACTATCATCGTTCTACAATGGGACAAAAGCGATTGAATGGGCTCGCAATGTTTAACATTAACAGTCATGTTGCACATAAATTAGATTTTTCTTCAATTATAAATGAGTTTGCACACAACAAAACCAGCAAAGCATTCCTAAAATGAAAAGTTTTGCTTGCAGTGGAAACTCACAATTAAAGTTACATTTTTAATACACATGCTATTGGTATCGTGACTTAATTGTTAATAAATAAATGTCTCCAGTGTTCATGTTCATATATTCTTTTGGTTTTAGTATGACCCTGTGGATGAGAAGTTAGATACGTCATGGGTCTGGGGTTAGGGCCTCTAAACTCAAAGTGGCCCAGCCTCTGTCATTCTCTAAGAAAGCCTGATCATAGCACATTGGTTGGACTAGTCTCTGGCTAGATGGGATACCCCTCTTCAAATCCTTTTGCCTCCTTTTGTTTAAAATGCATAGGGTAGAATGAGGTGGGGGCAGCAGTACCACCCAACCCTTCCCCTGTTTTCTGTGAAGCAGACAAGACATATCAGTCTTTCCTGCAAGGAACATCTTTGGTGCCTGAGCCACTAGACTCCAGGCAGCAGCTTCTCCTTTGGTGAGTTACTAAACAGCTCGGCCCCTCCCTACAGTGAAGATGTAGGCACCTATTACAGATAGTGGCAGAGCTTAGGGCACCCCCATCTTCCATCTAGAATGAGATTTAGGAGTAATAATACTAAGCATCATGGCAGCTAACTTTTAGGTACCTCGGTGAGGGAGGAGAGAGATCACAGGAACAACACTGCAATCTACAACGCTAATAGCCATTGATGGACCTAGCCTCCATGAAGTTTTCTAATTCTTTTTTGACTCACTTTATAGTCTTGGCCTTCACAACATTCTCTCGCAAGCAGTTCCAATACTTCCTTTTGTTTATTTGAAACCTGCTACCTATTCATTTCATTTGGTGACCCCAGTTTTTGTGTTATGAGAAGGAATAAAACTTCCTTATTTACATTCTTCCCACTCATCATGATTTTATAGACCTCTATCATCATGTTCCCCTTTCATTGTCTCTTTTCCAAGCTGAAAATTCCCAGTTTTATTAATCTTTCCTCAAATGGAAGCCATTCCACATCCCTGCCCCATAATTTTTTTTGTTCTTTTCAGAACTTTTCCAATGCCAATATTTCTTTTTTGAGATGGGGCAACCACATGTGCACACTGTATTTGAGATGTGGGCATGCCATGGATTTATATAGAGGGAATATATATTTTCTGTCTTACTCGCTATCCTTTTCTTAATGATTCCTAACATTCTGTCCACTTTTTTGACTGCCATTACACACTGCACACTGAGTGAATGTTTTCAAAGAACTATCCACAATGACTCCAAGATCTTTCTCTTAAGTGGTAATTTAGATCCCATCATTTTATATGTATAATTATAATTGTGTTTTCCAATGTGCATTACTTTGTATTTATCAACACAGAATTTCAACTACCATTTTGTTAGCCAGTCACTCAGGTTTTTTTGAGATTCTTTCATTGCTCTTCAAAGTCTGCTTGGGACTTAACTATCTTGAGTACTTTGGTGAAAATTTTGCCATCTCACTGGAGTGAGGCAGTGGCATACGTGGCCCAGAGACAGAAACAAACGTGTCTTCAGAATTCATTGGCAGTTTTGTGGGTTGCTGTGGAGCCAAAACTGGAACTTAACATTTAAATCAGAGGTTGAGGCACCTATGTACCTTTGTGGATTTGGACCTTTTTGCTTGTGCTGTGTTAGAGATGGAGAAACTGAAGTTGAGGAAAAAAAGGACCCAATGTATTCAACAATAGTGATGTAAGATGCACATAAAGGTATAGCAAGAAACATAGACTGTCCTAGCCTACTTTCAACTCCCTTTGGCTGCTTTTCCCACTGCATCCTCCTTCTATCTCGTTTAGCATACAAATTACACTTACTGATATTTAATTTAACTACTATTTACATCACTTTTGAATTTGACTACAGTGGTTCTATGTGCAGACTAAGGTACTATAGTCTTGGCCTTCACAACATTCTCTCGCAAGCAGTTCCAATACTTCCTTTTGTTTATTTGAAACCTGCTACCTATTCATTTCATTTGGTGACCCCAGTTTTTGTGTTATGAGAAGGAATAAAACTTCCTTATTTACATTCTTCCCACTCATCATGATTTTATAGACCTCTATCATCATGTTCCCCTTTCATTGTCTCTTTTCCAAGCTGAAAATTCCCAGTTTTATTAATCTTTCCTCAAATGGAAGCCATTTCTGAAGGTAGGAATAAGAGATCCTCCGGAAAAGGGCTTTATTCCAGAGGATCGGGCCAGTCTAGACGCTTTTTTCCGGCTTTTCCCCAAGCCGGAAAAAAGCGGCGGACATGTTTATTTAAATCCGCGGGGGATATTTAAATCCCCCGCGGATTTCCCTATGCTGACTTACCTGATTTGCATCCCTTTTCCGGAATTTGGGGCCAGTCTAGACGTAGCCATGATGTGTACCAAAGCAGTTTTTTTCTCTACGCTATATTGCAAATCAGCAGCAAAGCCAAGATCACAATTAATGGTTACTTAGCTTCTAGGAAAACTTTGGTTAGTTCCAAAACTTTCAAACAAGTTTGCCAGCCCCCAGTAACAACTAGTGTTTTGTGTCTTTTCAGATAGAGGCATACAATGGGCACTGAAATCATTAAGATATAATAAATCTATTTGGCTACTTATTGCACAGTACATTGTCAGTTGAAATAAAGCAACATCAAAAAATATTCTTAAGCTTTCCTCTCAGATGGCATTATCCAATAAAAAACCATTCAGTATTTAATATTTCAGTCTTTATTACAATACAGGATGTCCCCACTATAATTCACCCCATTATACATCCATTCCATCCATTCTGATTCGTTCATTATAAGTCCATCTATTTCCTGCTCTTAAGTCATACCAAAAAAAACCCAAAAAACTAATTTGCACAAATGGAAGTCAGCCACAGGAAAAAATTACCCTCTTTAAGTTGTTTTGCTATAACTCCAAGTTTTTTTGAACATATCTTGGACTTATAGCAAGGAGAGCCTGTATGTTCAGAAAATGTGAAGCTGAAAAGCATTGGTGGGGGGTTTATATTAATGAAATAGTATATCAGCTGGCAAATACAATCTCATGTGTTAGAGAACTGAACTAATAGGCTATAACTTATCTCAGACCATTTAAAGGAACACTTCTTATAACATGGCCTACGTTCAGTGCGTGGTGATACTAGAAGCAGGAAGCAATTTATTTTATATCAGTGCCTGACAGAGCTAGATATCCATTTTATATCATTAATAGAGCATTAGCCAGAATTTGGTAGTCTGACATAATTTAATTCATTTGTATGTAAAGACTTATGGGTAAACAGGAGAAATCATAAAGACTAAAAGATATTAGTCTCATGGAAAACAAAATTTTTCATCCTCCCCAAACACTTTTTCCACTTCTGATTAGATCTGTCTAGAAGGGCACATCTATGCAATGTCAGACTAGATGATCATAATGGTCCTTTCTGACCTTAAAGTCTATGAGTCTATGAGTCTATGACTTCCTTTGGAAAACTGCTCCAATGTGTTTTCACTGACCATGACCTACCACAGGATACAAAGATTAATGTCTATAAACCTTTGTTATTCCTATATGCCTGTCTGGATGTGAAATCTGGGTGACCTATTGACAGCACCTCATGAGTCTGGAGAGTTACCAACAATGATGCCTCTGGAATAGCCTTTGCATCAAGTGGGAAGATATCAGCACTAACACTAACATCCTCACTGATGTCAATGTCACCGGCACTGAAGCAATGATCCTCATGAACCAACTGAACATTGTTGTGGATGCCAGACTCTCACTCGAGAAACAAGTCCTCTAGGGTATGTCTACACTACCCCGCTAGTTCGAACTAGCGGGGTAGTGTAGACATACCCTAGAGGACTTGT